CTAGTTTTAGTGAAATGCACAAAACCCTAATAACAATCTCTCACATACTGCTCCATGGGGTAAAAAAAGAGAATCCACTTATGGACCCCATGCACAAGTACCCTCTCAACGGTAAGCAAGGGAGAACGTATAACACTACCTACAATGGGAGGTACCCCACAAGGAATGCCCACAGACTTGCGGGGTACCATTTTGGTACCCCATAAGTTTTTCACGAAAAAGATGTATGGATTTTACTCAAAAACTAGGAATTTCCAAGGTGGGTTGATGTGTCGCAAATGGAAGAGTTTTAGAAAAGGGATATTAAGTCCGAATTTCAGCCCAGGAAATTAATTCTGGTTAAAATAAGAGCATTTTGAAATTAGTGTGCGACATTGCAAGATTTTAGTACACGAGAACAAAGGAAGTACCCCACTTCTATGCCTGTGTAAGCGCGGGTGAGTTTGGGGGGACCACTGGGAGAGACATTCAAAAAGTATTGCCAATGACTGCCGATGACACCCGATGCTCACCCGAAGATGGGGTAGCTTTGTACACATTCAGAATATAATTAGCCATGCATACTTTGTGGTATACGCTTGCGAACCAGTACAAAGCCCGGTTCATACTCGGTGCAAAAGCGAAAGCGAACGCGAATTTGTGACGTCATGGCAAGTATTCGCGCTGCAAATTCGTAAAAATTGAACATTTTTCAACTCGGGCGAATTTCACAGCGAATGTTTCATGACGTCAAATTCACTTTGCATTCGCATGAAGTATGAACCAGGCTTTAGTGGTAAAAAGCCTCTCTATTTGTTTTTGCGGACGGAGCCAATATATTTGTCATCAGGCAGTGGTCTGTCAAGTTTAACTCTACTGCTACCTGGTTTTCAGAAGAGCATGGTTTTGAAAAATTGAAGAACTAGAAATTAATTTCCACGGACATTTTTTGTTTTTGTGCTCAGGGTTTTTGATGCAAAGACTTCTAGACAAGCCAGCTGTACCGTCATGCGCTCATACTACAGCTTGATTTACGTTATTCTAAATAAAGCATCCGTCCAATAAAAGGACTTCAATGTAACAAACACCAATCAAGATCTAATGGAAGGATAAGACACTTAAAAACTTCCAATTTTCACACTGTAAAAGGTCCTACTGTTCCCTCTATATTAAGAAGGGAAACTATCAAGCTATTTTGGGCTAAAAAAAAAATTGGGTGGTCGGGTTCTCATCCAAGGTTGTGTCTCTATAATGATTGGGTTTCCCATCACCTTGCTACAGGAACTAGACCTGTAAAGAGGAAAGGGCGTAGGGGGCCTTGGGAAGAATAATTTCCTGGCCTAAAAAAGTTTATAGTTATTGGAGGCATTTTTGGCCAATCTTTAAAAGATTTTACAGAAGTTGTCAAATACTCACAAACAAAGAACCACAATTTCAGCACGTGCTACCAATGAGTTCTACAATGTGCATCTTGCATTTGGCTAGGAGTCTGTTTTGCTTGTTTGCTGTCTTTGTCCATCAATGCTTTATTTGAAAGTATCAAAGATTTATGTGAATACCTCGCACTGAAAGAAGACTGAACGAGAATGAAATTTGAAATAATTTCTCCTCTGTTTTGACATCTTTCTATAAATTGACTCTGAGTGCAAAATGAAATGCCCTAAATTAGACAAAATAATTCCCCAAAGAATACACAAGACTAGAGCTGATGGCTCGATCTGTAATTTTTTTCTTCAAAAGAAACCCTTTCATGGACTAAAAATGTTGTTGGCAAAGATCTTTAAGAGAGGGTCTGGAGCTGTTGGTGACACAATCTGTTCGTTAAAATCTTAAAGTAAAATGTTAACAGTCCCTGTAACCTATAACGCTAGAACTTGACATTAAAGCACTAAAATGCTGAAGACGTCTGAAGATTTGCAGAGCTGCGTCCTGCCAAAAAAATGTCAAACTGCAGACAAAATAAATTGAGTCTGGGGGTCTGTTTCCGGCAGTGCCTGCCGAGTCCTGAAGGGATTCACACCATACGCCCTGGGACAATATTCGCGCAAGCGTTTCAAGGCGTAACACGTTCAGTACTTGTACAAACAGTGACTTATTATTCAAATACGCAGTCGTGAAGACATTGTACCTATTTAGGGACTTCTACAAACTATCAGGTTTAATTTGACGACTTTTTTTCCCCGAGTGCCTGAAATATGACAAATGTGCGCAGCGGCTCCAAAAAGAAGTCGGGAACAAACAGGAATAGATAAATTATGGGGCTTTGATGAAGCTATTCTTTAATACAGGGCTGTCAACGTTTAAGCTCATTGAGTGTGCACAGGTGGACAATTCCGTCGTCCGCTTTCAATCTATGTGCTCTCAATCGCATCAGCGGTGTTTGGTGTTACTTCATGTACTTGGATAAATGGTGATGTCTCTTCTTATCGAAAAGAGGGCCCAGAGAAGGTTTCAAATGGTCAAGTTAGCACACAATAACATGGTGCTGCTTAACAGTTAGCAGAAAAGTTGTGCTTGCTATTGTTGTGCTTACTGGATGTTGTCAATGCCCAGTGTCTCTCCTACTTTGATCACATTTCAAGAAGACAAGGGCCGAGTTCGGGCAGTCTGTTCTTGACGAGGGTATACTGTTCTTGCACAACCCCGATGGATACATGTAGGTCGTGTGTGATCTTGTTCCGAGTGCAGTGTTCGAGGGTCGTGTACCCGCCGTTCGAGCGCAAGAATAATATACCCGTGTCAAGAACAGACCGTACCGCTCTAACTCGGCAAAGGTGACTGCCTGTAAAAAGTGATACTGCAGGGCAAGATAGAGGGGACCCAGAAGGAGAGGAAAACCCAGAACAAGACTGATCGACAGAATCAAAGCTCTCGCTGGATGTTCCCTGTCTGAGGTACAAGCTCTTGCTACAGATTGTCCTTCATGGAGAACTATTGTTGAGGTCACGAGCTGTCAGTCATGACGGGACCGAACCAACCAACTATAGCAGAAAATTGTGCTAACCTGAAGCACTATTTCATAGCGTGGAAGTGCTAACGGTTGCGTGTGTATGGAGGTTTCTATTGTTACGTCACTGATTAAAGCACCTTTTTCCTCTGGGATTAAGCGGGCTTTTGCTGTGCTTACTGCTTACGGTCTCCATGAAATAGACGGAAAATTGTGTGCTTGACAGCGCCATGAAATTGGGCCCTGATGCTGTGTTTGATTCAGACGGAGATACTCATACCGTGGTTATTAAGTCCTGGTTGCACTCGCGTGGAATTCAAGTCGGACTCTTTTCTGTAAATCGTAACAGTTATTTTTGAAGAGGCTTCAAATGTATTTTTAGACAATGAAGGACAGGTGGTGATTAGCAGGACATATACGAGAAGTTGAAACAAAGGTGGCTTCTGTAAAGCAATTTTCTTTGTGCCACACTGTACAAATGTACTGTGAATTTAACTGCCAGAAGGCACCTTTAGGAAGATCAATTGCTTCCCCCGCCCCCTGACCACATTTGGATCCCTGTTTAAGAGATGTCTCTGTTCCTCCCCAACCCCCTCTCACCCTTCCCAAGTCCCTCCCCTCCCCCCCCCCCTTCATTAATTTCAGGAACTCCCCATTTAATCTTAATATCCTGGGAATTTTTCTTCCATGAATCCTGCACAATCCACGGAAGCACTCTGCAGGTGCCTGATAGCACAAACTGTCTTTGTCACTTTTCAAAGGCACTTAGAGCCATCGATACTGGGATCTAGTTTTAGCAATCCTCCAAAATCTCCTGTTGGATTTCTGAAGTATCTTGACAGGGGTTGGGGTAATTAACCGGCCCTGTATTGACTGACAACAGCCTGTTATCCTTGGCCCTGCTAATGAAGTACTTTAGTCTTATCATGCACTGAAGACAACTGAAGCTTTTTTCTGTACAGTTTATAATGGGAATTCTTTGTAAAGTCAATTTAGAGAATATAGCTGTGAAATCAAACCGATGGAGGGCTGGCATAAGAAGGTAAAGCTCACTAAAGTGACTTTTTAAGAATCACTGTGTGAAACAATTTTGAAGGCAATTCCAGCCTGAAATAAAAGTCCAGCCTGAAATAAAATGTGCTGTAGAAGTTAATATGCATGAATATCTAGACAGTGCACATGGACGTCGCGAGGGGGGGGGGGCTTGTTCCCCCCCCCCCCCCCAAAAGCTCTTTGCAAAATGGAGGATTTTGCGGGATTGAGGCTATATAGCAAAAATGTGGAGGATGCACTGTGTCAAGGTCTTGGGCCATGCATAAATTTAGGCATAGATTATACTTGAAATCCTCCACACTGCTCAAGGATGTCATGTGGCTCTGCCTCAACATATTGACAGTGATTGCTGGAGGATTTTGCAAGATTGAGGCAGTGGTCACCCCTCCAAGGACCACATTCAAGAAATAACGGAGGATTTTGCAGGATTGAGGCTGTATGCAATTTTTACATGGAGACTATTGGAGGATTTTGCAGGATTGAGGTTTCACCCTAGCAAAAATGCCTAGGGAGTTAGGGTTAGGGCGGGTTCATACTACACGCAAAAGCAAAAACGAAGTGAATTTCAAGACATCAACAACTGATGTTTTATTGTGACATTTGCCTTTACCCTTACAAATTCACTATGCAATGAAATCGGCAAGAAATATGTATCAGTGTTGTAGTCGAGTCACTTTGAGTCGAGTCCGAGTCTCGAGTCATTTAGTTTAAGTCCTAATCTGAGTCATGAGTAATTTGATAAAGTTTGATTTTGTTTTAAAACAATGTGAATTGCGAGTCACACAAGTAATCAGCATCACGTTCAAGTCACGACGGCTGAGTCCGAGTGCGAGTGCGAGTCTTTAGCCAATGGGACTCGAGTAGAGTCCAAGTCACTGACATTGCGACTTGTGTCTTAGAACACTCGTTGAACTGGCCGTTGTAGTAATTTGGAAAAGGACTCCAATGCAATGCTGGAACAACAAACTGTGCAAACATTGAAAGTAAAGGAATGAAACTGCCCCAGGCAATCTCTACGTACCTGTCAGAAACACAAAGTTGATCTCTCCTGGGATGTCCAGTTCCTGTGGGCTCAGCGAGCTGTGGGAGCGGTAGGTGACCACGTAACCGTCGACGGCGCCGTGGCGACCGTCCTCAGGAACATCCTAATGAGAAAGAGGATGGGAAAAACAGGATGGTGTTCAAGGTTTCTGATTGCAATGAGATCCTCCTCGGTGACTTTGTTTTGGTTTTGCAGACATGGTTTGTTAATTATTCCCTTTATTGAGTCATCGGTGAGGATATTGAGAGGGTGTGGACGAAGCTCTTTGAATGCCGATTGAAAGGAACGGGAGGAAAAGTTTACAGGGACTCGGCAATTTGCACTGACTAAGCAATTTGTGGTGCAATGTTCAGGCCCAGTTTGGAGGATTTGTGGTGCGATGTTCAGGCCCAGTTTGGAGGATCCCGGTAATTTATTAATGCTTATTGGTTGCAGATGGGCAGTCCTGTAAATTTTGACGTACAGTACATGTCAGACACTTTAAAGGGATACAACATTTGCAAACATCAAAAAATTAAACTACCAAAACATTTTGAAATACCTTGCTGGACTGTTAGTGAATGACAGTGTAAAGCATCCTGTAAAATCATGGCACCTGGTATACTGTCATTTTCAAGAAAAGTGGTATTTTTGTATCAATTTCCAACGCTGATCGGCCGATCAGCGTTGGAAACAACTGGCTTTTTTTTCAAATACTGGCCCCAATTGACCATCGCACTTGTTTGCAATCGATTACAAACCTATGAACGGGTACAAGCCAGCTAGACTGGTTCCCTGACCTTACAATTCTCCAATGTATGTAAACTGCTCTGTTTCTTTTTATATGGAGTCAGGGAACCAGACTACAGGAAAATGATTGTTTTTCTTGGTTTTTATAGCATTTTCGAACCGAAACCCTCAAAAAATTCAGTGTTACTATATTTGCTATATATTTCCAACCCCCCAATTCCATCCATTTCTGAAAATTACAGCAAAAGCAAATGATGTATATTCCCTTTAATGCACTGCTGTTGGAAAAACGAATGATACATGTACTTCACTAATATGTGACATCTAACGAGTAGAAAACAATTACAGATCAAGCTGTTAAGGTACCACCACCTTAACGACCTTGTACACCATGTGGTTGAAGGTACACAGAGAATTGGATTATACGGAATTGCCCAGATGTAGAAGATTTTGAGAAAGTTAGTTCCAATCTTGCTCACTTTTTGGTTACTGTATAAATTATGGGGAAATGTTTCAACAATCATGTCCAGCACAAGCAAATGGTTGATAATTGTCGATAAGCAAGAAACACCAAGAGCAGTTAAAAAAAACTATGTGTCACACTCCACTCCATTTTTTAATGAATCATTCGGGCTGTGCATCAGAAACGGGCACCCGAGTATCCCACCGTTGATGTTAGGAACTAGTTCTAAATTATGGGATATGGAAAAGCCTATAGGTTATAATAAATAAATAATAAATAACTAGACTTACAGAGCTCACTAGGCCAATGAAACATTCCAAATACCATCTCAGCTCCCTGGGGAGTATACAGCTCGATGCTGCCATTTCGGCACAAAGCAGCTAAAATCAACCACAATAACCATCTCTGCCCTCACAGGTACCCATTTACTCCTGGGTGGGGAGAAGCAATGATGGACAAAGTGCCTTGCCCAAGGGCACATGCACCATAGCCGCAGGCTGGACTCGAACCCACAACCCGCAGAATTACCCGCAGACCACGAATTCAATGCTCCAGACCACGAGGCCACAGCACTCCATTAAAATTATAATGGGCATAAATACACAATGGACAAAAATACGGACTGAAAATGCGCATATGAAAAGTTGGCTTAAGTCAAAGAATCCACGGATGTAACAAAATTTGTGTGATAAGACTATCAAACCTTTTGGATTTATAAACCTTTGCACTATCGGACCCTCAAAGTGTCCAGCGAACCCCATTAATTCATGAACCATCCTCCACTGTCAATGGATAAATCTACTGTTACAAGAAATAGACGGACACGAGTTGGAAGTAATTGTGGAATTTGATTTTAAATATCTGTTAATATTTACAAACTTTCCAAACTGTTTCTTTAAATTGTATTACAGGATAAATCGTGCTAAAAAAAGCTACAAGAGTCATAGCCAGCACAAGCAACTAGGGTTTATTTTTCTTCATAAACCACTGCACTGTTTGACATTTATTCATTTCGTGACGAGTGACTAAAAACTGGAGTTGTCTGAGTTTCCAAGTTGCAGAAAATAGGACAAATATGAATGGGAGTAATACAAAGCTGACATTTCAATTCAAAAGCCCCAATTGAAAGATTCCATGTCATCACCTCCCAGATCAGTCTAGGTAAGTATATTCCCAGGCTGGGGTGTCGACCGAATCACCAAAACCGTCTGCTCCGCACGTAACGGGTGTGCAGTGAAACGGTATGAATGTTCGGGGAGGGGGGATTGGATGAAGATGGCGGCCTCATGCGTAGACCTGACGACGTAAAGGTCGCGCTGGGTTCAGCTTGATCCCAAGCCGGATTTATGGCCATTGGCTATTTACACAGGAATGATTTTCCTTTCCCCAAGGCGAGTTCTGAGGGAAGGGCGCGACCTTTCTGCCTACTGGGAAACTGGAAACATCATGCAAAAATAGAAATAGGCCGAGTGTGCTGTCGATTGGGGCCTCGTTTCGTCGGCTTTGCTATTTGCCAGCCATGCTCAAATTTGCCAGCAAAGATTACGTGACCATTACTATTTGGAATCCGTGCCAAAAAAAACCAAATGATGCTGCGAGACAATTCGCATCAGCTCCAGCGTGTGGGAAAAAGCGCATGTGTAAACTGTGAGCACACCTGTAGGCTCCGAGCACTAGTACGCCCTCAGTGGTTAGAAAGGGAGAGTTGGGGGAGACCACTGGGAGGGACATTCAAACACTTTATTGCAATGACTGAAGCTCATGCAAAGACGGACATGTTTGTTTATGGTGTAAATTGAGGATTTTCTTTTGTTCCTCATCCCTTTTGCTTTAACTTTTTCGCAACAGCTCTTATTGGTTTTGTACACGTTTTCCAACCAAGGAGTCTTTGATTTGGTTTCTGTCCTCGATTTATCGATGGTGTTGCACATATGTGTCCTCCGTTTATACCATAAACATGCCCACTTTGGTTTGTGCACACTTTGGTTTGCACACCCAAGGGGGGGCTCGGGGGCTTGAGCCCCCCCCCCCCCCCCCCCCGAGGTCGTCATTTTTTTTATTTTTTTTTATTTTTTTTTTAGTTTTCGAGTAGTATAATAGGGGTGTAAATGGCGCCACCAACGTCATAATAGGCCACCCCTAAAAAAAAAAAAACCCAAAATTTTTTTCTGCAGCCAAAAATTTTGGGCAAAATTTCTTTTTTTAAATTCACTTTTTACCAAATTTGAAGAAAATTTTTAGCCCCTCCCAAAACCAACTCCTGGGTGCACCATTGCGCGCACGTACCACCATGCTCACGTGGTGTGTCCTGTCCACATGGCTCTCAAAAGAGGTCAAAAAGTGCCCGCTCGTGATTGGAATTTCAGCGAGTACAGATGAAAAGGGTAAAGAAGCAATACTCCCAAATCTGCTTAAAATCAGAAAACTTATCAAGTTTTCCGAGTCACAAACGTATCCTGTTTACACATCATTTCTAAAGATCCCTAGTTTCTTTGCGTGGGTGCACGGCGCGTGACAGAAATTGCATTTCAGTTTACATCCTATATCCCCTGATCACCGCTGAATGAGGAATTGTGCACAGAGTGATTGCTTCAAAATTCTCGAACTTTTTCGTTAAAAAGCTAAATGCGATCTCCTTCAATTAATTCTCACGAAGCAAAATTTTCCCAAGACAGGTGAAGGGAAGTGACAAAATCGTGGCCAGCTTTATTTTTTAATTTTATTTTTACAAATTGAACCAAGAATGTCTGAAAAAGCAAACTGCGATCACCATCAAAGCAAAGACTCTGTTGAGAGAAGACAAGGAAGGAAGTGACAGTATTAGGTGTTGAGAGAAAACCCCGCAGATTTCTCAGAGGAAGTCCACATGAGTGAGTAGGGACCATTGAGTCAATACACAAAATACTCATATATCCAGCAGAATTGGATCATCAGCCGGCAGAGTTGAAATGCGAGGCGAAATAACAAAAAAACTAATTCCAAAAGTTCGCCTCGGGGACTAGTTTGTCAACTTCCGATACCTTGAGGAGCTAATATCAACTTTCCACCCTCGAACTGTGTAATGTTTGCATAATAATTTTAAACTGAATGAACACAAATGTGTAGCATCATTCTGTAAGAGAAGGGCATGTTAGAATACGTGTGTGTGCATGGCAGCAACAGTCAAGCGTCCTTAAAACACGTATGAATTTCTGTAATTACCCGGAAATGTACCTACTGATTTTATGAGAACATCCTTGCTCAAAGTGAAGATAGGACTGGTACCAAATATACTGTGAAATTATTCTGCCTGAAATGGTATTATTTGGCAGAAAACAATCATTGAAGGTGGTTTAGAGGTATAGTCCATCATTTGTAATTTGTACATTTTGTTCATTTGAAGAAACAAAAGTGCTCAAAATCTAAAGAAGGGTGCTGAATAAGTAACCTGATGCAGTTTCAGCTCAGCTTCAGCTGTATATTCCAAGAAAAACAGCATTCTAGGATCTCAACTTCAAATTAAAAGTTGCTGGATCATGTTTTGAATTGGGCCTGAATTCAGCGTCCGAGACAAGTTCTCACCAAGCCGATTGCAGCTACGCAATGTTACGCACTGTTCCGACGAATTGTATCAACTGTGCCCCCGTGTGCATTGTGTTAACGCTTGTGCGCGCTTCACCGAATAAGAAAACGAACAACCAACGGAAATTTCCAACCGTTGGAAAGTCCTTCTTTTGTTATTTCTTCAAAATGACAGCTTGCCAGAAAGAATAATTTCACAGGGAGTTTAGTCCCCTTGATATCTTTCAACCAAGTATGTTTTTCAACAATAAATACGTCAGTGTGCCCGCGGGCAGAGTTTTTACGTGCGTTAGCAATGGATTCCAGTTACTTTAAAATAAATTCATATCAATTAGCGCCTTGAGTACCTA